TCGGCTCCGGCCACAGTGACCCAGTGTCACATGCTACACTTCGGCTCCGGCCACAGTGACCCAGTGTCACATGCTTCACTTCGGCTTCGGCCACAGTGACCAAGTGTCACATGCTTCACTTCGGCTCTAGCCACAGTGACCCAATGTCACAACCTTTACTTCGACTCCGGTTACAGTGACTCAGTGTCTTGTGCTTTGCTTCGCCTGCGATCACCATGACTCAAGTCATTACTTTTTATTATGACTCATAACCAAGTATTGCCTATGGTTATTTATACATGTAAAGTCACAGATTTTTATAACTCATCTTTGTCTCTCTTTCTTCCTATTTATGCACTACCCCTATCACTTCCACCAATATCATTCACAAGTGAATGACTTCGGGGGGGAAGGGGGGAATAGTGTAAGAGCAGGTCCGAGGTGCCCAACCTTGGACGGACGACAGTAATTCCTTTACAACCAGAGTAAAGCGTAAATCCAGAGCTTCCCGCTTGAACAGCTACACAACTGTTACGATGGACATCCTTGCATCTAAATATATCTCAATCTCCCGGTCCCGAAATAACTGCTTGGAGATACACATCAAATCCCGAATATCTTGCTTGGCTCAATCTCCCGGTCCTGAAATAACTGCCTGGAGATACACATCGGATCCTGGATATTTTGCTTGGCGTCTTGCTTGGCGTCTTGTTTGGCCTGCCGCGTGGATTCTCCATCGGAACATATTAATACCCTTTAAAGGCCACGCCAAAAGGTAATTGAAACCAACCATAAGCTCCTCGTTTCTTTGCTTTAAAGGTAACCCCGATTACTGCTGATTTAAGCATCGGAGTGTCTACCCCAAGGATCCACCTCGGGGCCTTGCAGGTTGATCCAGAGTGCAGATACGAATTGAAGAAGGACTTCTGGTTTGATGCAGTTACAGTAATAAAGATGAAAATTTTAAGAAACAAAAAGAAGTATTAAATGAATAACTCTCTACCTATACAATTACTTGAGAGAATTAGGAGGGAACAGAATTTCTCTTGAGATTGAATCGGAGAAACGTAAAAGCAAGACCCCACTGCATTGCTCCAACTATTAGAGTTTTAAGCTTCCGAGCAAAAGCAATGGTGTAGGAAACCCAATGGAGCTTTTGGGAATTGCAAACGCAGAATAAAAAATAAAAAAAAAAACCCTTTATTAGACTCATAATTCACTTCTTTTTCTACGACTTGAAAACGAAAATGCCAATTCACTTCCCCCTTTCCAGGATAAATTTATTGTTCAAACCCTGGCCATTTAATGGTATTTTAGTTTTTATCATAATCCCTAAATTGCCTTCACTTTTATGTTTTAGTTGCTCACAAACTAAAAACTTGGGAAATGGGTGGGTAATGTCGAGTCATAGTAAGTCGGGTCACAAGTTGATCAAGTCAAATCATAATTAAAATTTTCAAAACTTGTTTAAAAGTAATTTCGAAAGTTTAAGTTTAAGTTTTTATAACAAAACTTTAAATTTAAAATAAAAAATTTTATTTTTAAATAAATATTTTTAAAATTTTGTCGAACACCTTCTACTGTCTCTCTCTAATAATATTTCTTTATATTTTAAAATTTTCTTACCAAATTTGGCATTTAAAAAAGGAAAAGCGCCTAAAATGCCTAAGTACTGCCTAAGTAATGCCTAAGCACTCCTTAAACACTTGCCAGGCTTCGCATAACACTCTCTGCAACGTTATAGAGAAACCAAAATAGTAAGGAAAAAACACATCAGCTTCGCTTTAATTAAAGTTCAGCATCTCTTCTTCATCTTGGGAGTAATATGTGCCAGATAAGAAAGGGAGAAAACAGACAAATAAGAATATAAACTGTCATTTTTTTTTATTCAAAAATGTAAACTTTATTAATTTGTAAATAAAATAATAAACTTTTAACTTTTCATGTTTAAATATATTAACTTAGTGCACCTTTCATGTTTAAATATATTAACTTAGTGCACCGAACCCTTAAAGCCAAGTGACAATAGTCACCTCGCGGTGCACTCCTCCTTTTCCCTAGATTGGGTTTCGAACTAACCCTTATTAATCTGTTCATAAAAAAAAAAATATTAACTTAGTATTTTTTCTATTTTAAAGTTAATTAGACTATGAGGCTAACGTGTCAAATGGCCTTTTAGCTACCCGAATAATTTTTAAATAAAAAACCCAAAAAATTGATATTTTTAAATAAAAAAATATAAAATTAATATATTTAAATAAAAAAAATTAAGAATTTATTACTTTATTTAAAAATCAACAAAGTTCACATCCTCATATAAAAAAATATAACAAAGTTCATATCTTTATCTGCACCTTTTTCTCAAGGAAAAGGTGACTGCTAGTATGAAGTATTAATCAAATATTCATCTAGCAAGGATTTCTTAAGTATACAGGAACTGAAATTTTCTGGGCAGCAATGAAGCCCTTTAGCAAGTGAAGTTGTCTGAAGTAAGCAACTCCTGTGCCGCCACTAAGTCGGGAAGAACGACTGCGCCCGACTTCCTCCACTCCTCAGCATCAGGGGTTTTAAACCTGTCTAACAGCAAGGCATGCATTCCCACTTTCTTTGCTGGCACATAGTCTTTGCGCATGCTGTCCCCAATGTGCAGAGCCTCTTCTGGTGCAATATTTCCTACCCTCTCCAGGGCTATCTCATAAATCCTCGGGTCTGGTTTCTCTACACCTTCAAGACCAGAGAACACGCCGAAGTCCCACTCCGACCCCTAAATCATCGATTAGATAGGGTTTTAGATATTAAGACCAAATTCAAATCAATTAGTCCAGAAACAACACACACATTGTTTCCTGAAATGGATGTGCAAGTTGTTCAATCATTGGTCTCAAAACACCACAAAGTTATGTAAAACCAGCTTTTGTGCATGGCTACATATACATAACTAATTTATATGGAAAGACACATCTAAGCAATCAAAATTGACTAGCTTAATTATCATTCAATAGTAACAAAAACCATTGCTTAGGGGTTAACCCCACAGTAGGAATTGGGATTTAATAGGATAAAGAAAATTTCACTGATTATTTACCTGGTTCAAACCCAAAGCTGGAAGAATTACATCCTGGTAACGATATTCTGCATTGCTAATAATACCAACTTTAAGACCCTTTTCACGTGCCCATCTAAGGAATGGCTGTGAGTCTGGGAAAACATTGTAAGGTGCAGAAGAACCAAAGGAAGCATATATGCGTCTAAATATCTTCTCAAATGTCTCTTCATCATAATCATATCCTGCCTGCAAGCAGAAATAAGACCCACCTGTTATTAAATATCCAAGAAGTAAATGACAGAAAATCATTTACACAGATTATGTTTTGACTTCTGAGGCTATGGCTTCATTCAAAACTGTTATTATAATACCACTGCTACAACAAATGCATCACATAAAGGGAAATGGCTCATGATATTGTTCTAGAAAAATGAATTTTGCATTCTTAAGGTGTTCCTACGAACCAGAACTGCAGAACATAGTTGTATTAATGCTTTCATGCTTACAGGAAACCAGCATGACATGCTTTCAGGTCCAAGAACATATCTTACCTTGATGAAGGAATTTCTGACACAAGTTTTCCACCATACTATATTGGGCATTTTTGCTGCATACCCAAAACATGGATAATTCTTTGCCATCTCTGTATATGCAAGTTTAAAGCCCCCATGCATGCGTTTGTAATCAGGGCATGGCAGTCCAACCGCCTTGGCTGCCATGCAATAGTAGTCACCAAGCTCCCCTTTATAAGCTATGAGAGTACCAGTAACATCCACGGTGATGCAACGTAATCTTGATAATAGAGACATGGCAATAGTAATCTTGCAAAAGTTCTCAAAACCAACCAAAAGTCCAAAAATGTCAATCTAGAAATCTTAATTCTTTGCCTATTTATGTAAGATCCTCAGGAATTTGAGATCACAGTGGGTCACACACACAGTGTCTTCAGGTAATCTGCATTTGGATAATACAACAACTCAGTTATGCTATGCAACCAAGAAAAGAGGAAAAACAAACAGAAGATGTGTATGCATATGTGTCGGTTGGTATACCTTAGCAACGGCTAAAAAAAAATGCCATTCCCCAATAATCACAAGTATATCAATCAACGTTTTATCATCTTTAACCTTCATTTAAAATATAAAAGTAATTTGATTTCACAAGTAGACAAAAAAGTGTAAACGCATTATGTATACCAAATACTAAATAGAAAAACATGACATAAGATCTGCAGTATATCAAAAACTCAACACGTGCAGTACACTCAAATTTACAGATCTTCTGTGTTCCTTGAGGAACAAAATCAGCAAACTTGCAGAATTAGACAGTCATGAAACACAGACCTAGGGACACTAAAGTTTTAGGACCTTACAAGGGGAAAAAAGTCAGATACAAACAAAAGGAAGTCAGATACAAACAAAAGGACAACTCATGTCTGAAAAGAAAAACCCAAATGTAACTACCTTCTGCATCAAGAGATTTTGATACGCTAATTGAACTTGCATTAGGACTATAAAAAAAATAATAATAATAAATTGGGGATACATCAAGCTTAGGCTTCTCTACAAGTTTCTAAGAACTCTTGGTCACCCCAACAAACCAAAAAAACAATCCATTTGAAGACTGTCAATGATCTAACAATGCTAGTCTTTTGATATTCATGCTAATTACTGCCTAAATACTAAAGAAATAACCTAAAAAGCTTCTATTCTAATAAAACTATAATCTTTTTTTTTTTTTTTGGTCAAATATAATTTGCAATAATCACCAAAGTCAACTGAAAGTTCATACTTCAAAGACCATGCCGTTCTTTTAGACTACGGCAAGTGAGTGTAGCATAAACAAGATGATTCAACTGTAAAAAAGATGTAAAACTGATCATGAATGAGCAAATCAGCAGATCTCATAACAAAGGGGGAAAAATGCATAAAAAGAAGAAAAAATAAGTCAAATCCAAACCATACTACAAACAAATCAGAAAACTGTAAAGTAAAAAGATTAGATATCACAAGAAAACTTTGATCCAACGTTAGAACCACTATCTTTGCATCAATGTAGATATTACAATTCGTGGGTTGCCCAGATAATCAAAATTTAAGTTTTTTCAACAGTAACTATAGGGATGAAGGGAATAAAATGGTAAAATTTAGCGGCAGAAAATCAACATACTTACATTAGATGAGAAACAGCAGGACATAAACAGGAGTGGTTTAAAAATTATTGACAGAATGAGAAATCATACATAGCTCATGACCAAGAAATGGAGAAGAAAGAGAAACAGCTGTTTGCCAGCCCCTTTCCCATGTATCGAAAAGGGAAAAAAATCAGAAAAGAAACCAAAAAAGAAGGGAAATTGAGGATAACCAGATGCAGAATGATGTTGGGTCTGAGTTACTTGAGAGAAATCGCCATTTTTGTGTTTCTTGGGGAGTTGAATAAGCTTCAGCTGCACTTTCCAAAGACAAAATCAGGCGAGACAAGCCGTGCTTAATTATTTTAAGGTTAAATATCCTTTTTGTCCCTCTAGCATAGAAAAAGGTCTTTCTTTAGTTTTTATACCGAAATTTTTTTTATTTTTACTGTTTAAAATTCGATCCATTTTTAATCATTCTTAAATTTTGACCAATGTAATAGATTAACTAATGAAATTTTTTTTTTATTTTAATTACTGTGAAAAATCTACCTGGTACAACTTGATAACATGGTCAAATTTTTTTTGTTTAATTTAATCTTAAAAATCATTTAATTACATAATTATCATTATAAATATTTTAAAGATTATTCTATGATTAAAAATACTTAACTTTAATTACTTATTTGCCTTCATCTTCTTCCCCCCTTTTGTCTTATACTGCTAGGTTCGTCGCGAACCTGAGTTCGTCACGATAATCCAATTCTTTGAATGACCAAATCAATAGTCAAAATTCAAACACGAAATCAAAATATTTCATATTTAAAATCAGTAGATGCAAGTTAAAATCTAATATAAAAAACAAGATACATAACAGAAGAAATCTGAATCTCCAACTACAATACTCAAAATCATTCTTAAGAACAATCTAATCATCAGATCAAATTCAAAAGCTAAATTGAAATCATTCATGTTCAAAGATAGTGAAAATGAAAAATGGAATACAAAATACAAAATCCTAGCATTTAAATAGAATCAATAGATGAAATCAGTACCTGAGTTCGCCTCACAAATCTAGCACCTAGGTTCGCGTGGGTTCGTTTTGCGAACCCAGGCATTGGGTCCGCGTCACCAACCATGGGAACTCAAGCGTTGGGTTCACGTCACGAACCCACACAAACCCAAGCACTGGGTTTGTGTCACGAACCCATGCAAACCCAGGCTTGGGTTTTCGGTCACTAACCTAGGCGAACCCAACGC